GGCGGCAGGGCCCTCCCCGGGATGCACAGCTCGGCCTGGTGGTGCCCATTGAGGGCAGAGTCTCGCTGAGACTGCTGTTCAATTTCGGCTGCCTTTGCAAGCCAGAGGTCAGAGGCCATGGGAGGACGAAGAGCCAGGGTGGAAGGCCAGCAGCAGGGCCCAAATGCCCGCCTGCCCCTGCCCCGCCTCTGCCCTGGCAGAGCCTCGAGCGTGGTCCTGGGAACTCCTCTGGTCCCCTCAGTGATGGAGCCCCCAGAGAAACAGCTGCCCTGGGAGTGTCCCATAAAGGAACCTCCTTGTGCACTGAGATCGGTGGCGTGACCCCGGCCTGTCTCTGGCAACAGCCAGGCCCATGGAGAAGGGTCAGTCCCTCCCGGCCCCACCTTATTCTAAGACCCAGCGCAGCCACCGGGCTGGGCCCAGGCGCTCAGTTGCAATCACAGAACAGGCTGCGGGAGCCTGGCGGCCAGGCAGCGCCAAGGACCCTGGGGCTTCGTCCTAGGGTCAAGTCAGGGGGCCCTGGCACCTCCGTGGCCTTGGGTGAGGCAAAGGACGGCGGGAAGAGCCAGTAGCCCGGTGACTGCTCTCCTGAGCCGGGCTAAGCCCACGGTGCACTCTCTCTCCTGCGGCCTCCTCCGGCCTCCACTTCTGCTGGGGAGGGGCTGGCCCTGCAGAAAGAAACAGAACAAACAGAACTCAGCGGGGAGGCTTTAGCTTGGTTTTCTTGGTGGCTTTTAATGCAGGACCTCAGGCTGGAGCCCTAAGAGGATGCGTGACCTCGGTCAGCAGGTGGAGGGGCGGGGATAGTGACCCAAGAGACAGAAGCTCTCACCGCGGGCCTGGGGCTTTCTGGGCCACTTCAGTTCCCGTCAGCCGCAAAGGTGCTTGAGCACACGGGGTTGCGGAGCCTGGGGTGCGGGCTTCGTGAGCTTGTGCCCTCAGCCCAGTGCCAACCCAGTGCCAGCCCAGCGGATCTGTGCAAGCGGCTGGCCACCGAGGGGGTGCGGGATCCAGTCAGCCCAGGGTGGCCTGGTAGACACAAGGGCTGGGGGTGGGGAGAGGTGGGGGTTGGGCCTGCCTGCTCCTTGGCTCCCCTGGGGCTGGAGCATCGGGGTCTAGACTGGAGAGGGGTGCAGCAGGATGCTCCTCAAGGTGCTCTCCTGCCTCATGTCACAATCTCGTGGCCGAGAGGCCCAGTGGGGGCCTGGGCTGCAGGGTGCACGTCTCGTCTACTCAAAATCCCCTGGTTACGCTGAGAGCCCGATCCACCCCCAACCTCCTGTTCACGTACAAGCTACTTTATCCGAGCTCCATGTTCTGCTCCCCTAGATGCGTGAGGAGTTAGCCGTGCGCCCAGTGCGTATTTGCTAAACGGGGCACGTGCGGGAGCTTGAGGTTAGGGCATGAGTGACAAGTGTGAATTCAGCACACGCTGTGGTGTGGGGCCAGGAACAAGCGCGTCGGAAGGTCAGTCACGAGGACTCATGTGGCACCTAGAAGACTTTATACCACGTGACATGAGATTTAATATAACGGAAAAGGAAAAATTTCCTCAGAACAGTATCACATGACTCCACGCACTAAGTTATTTAGTGCCGCTTGTAGACACAAAGACGGTAGCAGGTCGCCCTTATTTAACACCGAGCGCAGCGCTGGGCCGCGAGACAAACGTCGCTCTGCACGACCCCGGGGGCACGCCCAGCCGGCTCACCTGGGCCCGTGTCCCTGGAGGTGACAGTGGCGGTGTCTGTGCGCCATGCCCTCCCCAAGCGAGCATGACGGAGGAGTGTTCCCATGCGTGACGGCAGCGGACAGCAGCTAGCAGTGGCCTTGCATCTTTGCCTCAAACACCTCAACATCTACAGGCAAAAAGAAGAAGTCGTCAGGTTGTGTGTCGTGTGGAGGCTCTATGTCCTGGCTGGCAGAGCAGTCAGGGAGGGAGAAGCCCCAAGGAGGAAACCAAAGCCCGGCTCCAAGTCCCTGTCCAGCCGGGCGACCCTGGGGAGCACAAGCAGCCGGCGGCCCCGAGGGCCTGGGGCGGAGCAGAGCTGGGCCAGTACCCGTGAGGGCGTCACAGGCGCCCGCAGTCAGGGCTGCCAGTCAGTCGCCCGGTAGCTCCCTGCTGGCAGAACAGCCCGCTTCCGGCCGAGACCCCAAGGCTCGCGGAGGAGCCGCGCGC